GGGTGGATGTATGGATGGGTAGGTGGGTGGATGGGTAGGTGGGTGGATGGATAGGTGGGTGAATGGCTGAGCTAAAGAACTGAGGAGGTAGTGTAAAACAGAAGACGGTATCAGGATCCTAGATAAGCTAAAAAGTGCAGAACACACACATAGTTCATCCAGATCCTGGTGTCCACCAAAGGCCTAAGCCTCCCTCTGGGGAGGGGGAAGGCACTGCCATTTCTGTTTCTGTGGCTGCCCAAGTTTGCTAATCCCCTTTCCCTCCTGTAGATCTTGACGGTGTCTGGGCCGCCCGAAGGAGGGACTCGCGTGACCATCCATGGCGTGAACCTGGGCCTGGACTTCTCTGAGATCGCCCACCACGTGCAGGTGGCTGGGGTGCCCTGCACGCCCCTCCCAGGGGAGTACATCATCGCTGAGCAGTGAGTCCGCCCGGCTGGCCCTTTTCTTCCTAGGCAGGAGGGTTTGCTTCCCATGGATTTTCCCAGCACTCACCTTCACCTGCTCCTCTCGTGGACCCTGCCCCGGCAAGCCTTCTCCTGCCCCACCTCCACCCTCAGAAGGTCTCGCTCAATTGGATGCCCTGTTCCCTGCCTCCTCTGGCATCTGGGCTCCTGGCCCTGACACTGCCACTCCTTGAGTCCCTGCGTGCCTGCTGGTGTGACTGAGCCACTTTCCCAACAAGCCCAGTCTCCTTCTTGGTCCCCCTGGCCCCGTTCTCCCCAGCCCCCATTGGAATGCATCCCGCATGGTGGGCTACGGGCAACAATTTGTTTGGTGCGTGGGACTCTGACAGCAGCTTAATCCGAGCAGGGCCTCTGCCGGAGCAAATTCATTTATTTCACTAAGGGAAATGTCAGCTGGAAATTAGAAAATAGGCATGTAGCTGCGCCCAGGCGGATGGGGCTCCAGGAGTGACATATGTTCCAATTTGGGGTGTTCATATGGCAGTGGCAACCGCTGTGGGGTTGGTAAGCAGGAGGTGGGCACGAAGCTGGGGGTGGGAGGGTGGAAGCAGGGATGCTTCCCCTCGAAAGGAGAAAGGGAGGGGCAGACGGATCATTCCGTCACGTAAATCAGGTCAGGTCACCCGCGTTCCACTGAGAACACAGCTCTGCAAGGGGTCCTAAGAACATGAGCAAGGGCCTGGCTTTGGCGAGAGGCTCCCCTGCCTCAGCTCCACTCTCTGCAGCCACAGGTCCTCTCCCTCGACCTCCCCAGAGCCAGCCTTTAACAGCAACCATAAAAATGACATTGCTTCATCTTTCATCACGTACTTTCTCGTCCATTATCTCAGTTTGAATTGGTAAGGACCCTGAGAGGTAGATATTGTTATCGCCATTTTCAAAGTAAGAGAGAGCAAAAGACTCAGAGAAGTGAAATGACTTTCTCAAGGTCACACAGAATGACCCCTAGTTCAGCACTCTTTCCATTCCATGGCAGTGATGGGGCCAACTCCTGGGCAGGAGTGACCTGAAAATTCCATGGTTCATCAGTGTGTGGCTTCGAGGGTTAGGGACCTCATGTCCATCAGGCCATGACTCCAGGAAGCCTAGGGAAGGGTCAGAGGCAGAAGGAGTGAATTCCCACACTTAGAGGGCTGGAGTGATGCCTTTTGGCCACAGGAAGGAAGAGGAAAGAAGGCATGAGGTCTGCTCCTTCTCTTAGAACCTTATCCTGGAACAGCTTTGGAGGAAAAACTGCTGGGTCTACAGGAAACAGATGCCAGTGGTCGTCAAGTCAACTCTGACTCACGGTGACCCCATGTGTGTCAGAGTGGAACTATGCTCCATAGGGTTTTCAATGCCTAATTTTTTCAGAAGTAGGTTGCCAGGCCTTTCTTCCAAGGTGCTTCTGGGTGGACTTGAACTCCCAAGCTTTTGGTTAGCAGCTGAGTAACTATTTACATCACCCAGGAGCAGGAAAGAAAAACGGAAATGGCATAAGTAGTGTGTCTGAGCCAGAAGAGAGGGCAGAAGCAGCTGGGGCAGGACCCAGGGCAGCCTGCAGAGAGCCCCGTGGGCAGAGGTCTTACAGAGCCCAGCATGCTGCCAGGCTGGGCCAGGCTCTCAGTCTCAGCCACCCAAGTCCCCTTGGTCTCAGGACCTACCCTGGGCCTCTGGACAGTCTAGTCACCAACTTGGTAGGATGCCTTAAGACCCCGGAGGAAAGGGGCTTCAGCTGAGAAATGCAGACTCCTAGGCAGGTGGGCACTGAAATCTGGTGAGGTTTGGTATTAAAAGATGTTTGAGTCCTGGACCGCCTACGCACCAGCCTGGAGACCTTAGGAAGCCGTTTGGTCCCTCTGACCCTCATCAGCCAAATGGAAACTCCGATTGCTACTCCACGGGGTCTCGGGGAGGAAACAATGAGAACATGGAGACGGAGACTGTGAAGTGCCATACAGACGCAAGGAATTACAGCTCCGTTTAGAAAGCAGATTCTCCGCACTTGCCCCAGGCCGCGGGAAGAGGCGGTACCAGAGAAACCGGAAGTGAGGAGGATGTGGCAGGAGCCTGGGGAGGTGAACGGTCCCCTGAGGTCCCAGCCACGGCCACGGTTACTCTACAAAACTGCCACCGCGTCTCCTCAGGCACAGGACAGGCAGGAGGGAGCGGGTGCACCCCGGACCTTGGCCTGATGCAGCCCCAGTTTCCCGCAGTGCCAGGCTTGTTACCGCTCTTGAGGTTTCAGCGTTTGTGAACGTCGTTAAAGCCTCTGTCCTGGGCAGTGAGCCGCAGGCACCCTCATTAGGGATGTCTGTGAGAGATGAATTCGGCTGAGTGGGCGAGGTGCAAGGCCCGGACGCCGGCGGGATTAGCGGGCATGGTAATGACTCACCATATGCTTGTGCCGCGCCATCTATCACTCCGCAATTAGGTTAATGTTGGTTAAAGGGCCCCTCTTGTCTTGCAATCAGCACCCCACAGGCCTGTGAAGGGCTGGATGACTCCTGAACAGGACGTTCTGTGGGCGATGGGAGGCTGCAGCTCAGCCCCTCCTGGAACAGGGGCTCTGCTGAGAGGTAGACTGGGCTCAGGTCCCCAGGCCCTCACCCTCTCATCTGCTACACCTGTGAGCTCAGCCACAGCTGGATGGATGCTATGTGAGCGTGCTTCTCAGCCCAGTGGTGCATGCTCATGGACAGAAAGGCACAGTCTGTGATGTCTGCAGGGTCCCTGGGTGGTGCAAACAGTTCAGCACTCGGCTGCTAACTAGAAAGTGGGAGGTTTGAGTCTACCCAGAGGTGCCTTAGAAGAAAGACCTGGCAATCTACTTCCGAAAAATCAACCATTGAAAACCCTATGAAGCACAGCTCTACTCTGCAACACATGGGGTGGACTCAGTGGCAGCTGGTCACTGGTTATGTGAGTCTGTAGAAAGGGTGGTCTGGGAGCACTGGGTGTCAGGAGAACCGAGGCCAAGCCTCAGCTCGGCTACTCACAAGCTGTGTGACTTTGGGCAAGTCACTTTGCTCCCTGATCCTCAGATTTCTCATCTAGAAAGTGTGTCTGTAGGAGTAGATGATCCCTACCATCTCTTCCATGGCCCTTAGGATGTCAGGAGCTGGCGACTCTCTGCCCCATGGCCTCTGCAGTTCCCATCATTGGGAAGCTCACCTGCAGCACTGATGGGCCTCCAGAAGCACCTGTCAGACGTGAGGGCTGGAGAGTTGTTAGCCCAGCTCCTCACTATTGTCTCCCAATACTGCATAGGGAGCCTAATGCCACCAGGGACACAGGGAGGAGGCAGGGAAGGTGGGGGCCCCCAGAAATCAAACCACAGGACCCTGCAGACTTGAAGGGCTGAAGGAGGAGGAAGCACACACAGACACTCCCTGAGGCCGTCTACAACCAGGAAGGCAGTGGGACAAGTAGTCAGCTCTCGAGCCTTAGGAGCCCAGCCAGGTCATCCCCACCAAGCCTGCCAGCTCTGCCCCAGCTTTGCCCCCGCAGAGGAAAACGTGGCTCCCTCGTCCTCCCTATTCTCTCCCCAGAAGACACACAGAGTGTTTAATCAAACAGACAACAGACACAGTGGACTAGAGTGGTCCAAGGCATGAGCTCTGGAGTCGGGCTGACCTGAACTGGAATCATGGCTCTGCCACTGCCCCGCCCTGCAGCCTTAAATAAGCCATTAGCATCTCCGAGGCTTGGTTGCATCCTGCGTCAGTGGAGACAAGAGACCTGCCTGGCGGGAGAGCCTGAGGATGACATGGGATTCTGTCTGCATAGTTCCTGCCACATCATAGCTCAGCAAGTTGTAGCTCTTGTCATTATTAAAGTAGGAGTCTGCTTTGGCCTAGTACTCATTCGTCAGTAGAATCCTTTCCACTCCCTGCAGGTGCACCTGTGTCTGCCTTCCATTCCCTACCTCCCTGAGCTCAGAGAGCAAATGCCTGCATCAGATATACTCAAGGCCTTTCCGTCTTTCCCTGCAGGCAGTGGGCTTCAGGAGAAAAAAAAAAGAAAAAGAGTTAGAGGTCATTAGAGTTTGTCTACTCTTTTCCAGGTCTTTGACCAACCAACCCAGACCTTTGTCTACAGCCCACTGACACAGCTCCTCTCTGCACCCCTCTGACGAAGTAGAACCTCTTGCCACGGGTGAGGGGAGGGGTCTGCAGCAGTACCGAGGAGGGAACCCATGGTCCAGCACAGCCCCCTGCATCGCGACCTTCCAGGCAGGGCGATTCGGAGCCAGTGGCAAGGGCTTAGGCTGACACTCAGGCGGTATCCACCTCCCGTCTGTTGTTCTTCTCCCAGGGCCTTGACATCTAAAGCTTATCTTTTGGGACATGAACCGTGAGCAAAAGACGGTTCCAGAAAAGACAGTGCATCAAGAGGCTCATTGTCAACTCCCTACGGGGACATCCTGGGTCTTCTCCTTTCCTAGACAGGCCCCAGGGCCCTAGGAGGAAGGTTTCAATGCCACACGGCCTTCGCATGTTCTCGTATTTTCATTTTCCATGACTTCAAGCCCACAATTATTTCTTCCTCCTTTTCTTGTCAAGGCTCACTGCAGTATGAGGTGTCCAAGGGGAGGAATGAGGGTGAGGGACAAGAAAGCTCTGATTAGAAGTGAGGGAAAGTGCTCCCTGTCCTTCTCTTCCTTCTTCTCTCCCCTCTACCCAAGACAGATAGCTAATTCTCCTTGGAGCAGCTTGAGAGGGCAGAGCAGGGCATGGTTTGCAGGACAGCTGGCCCTCTTGTCCTCAAAACTGGAGCAGATGCTGTTGCAGTACTAGTTGCTGCCAAGTCAGCTCCAGCTCATGGCGACCCCATATGTGTCAGACTAGAACAGTGCTCCGTAGAGTTTTCAGTGACAGTGACCTTTCAGAAGTAGGTGACCAGGCCTTTCTTCTGAGACATCTCTGGGTAGATTCGAAACTCCAACGTTTCAGTTAGCAGCCAAGCACTTAACCATTTGTGCTACCCAGGGATTCCGGAGCAGGTGCTAGGGCCCAGGAAACAAAATGAGAGAGTTGTTCCTCCAAGCAGGTAGTAGCATGAAAATAACCACACATAGTATCTTGAATTAAGCTTCTTCTCAAATGCTCCGCTAATGAGGTTTAAGGAGAGTTATGTGTAAAATGCTAACTGATCATCCCAATTATGTTTACTCTGGATTCATAATTTATTTCTTTATTCAGATTGAAAGGGAAGGGAGAATATTTTTCCATGTGCTCTGGGTACTTTCTTGTTGAATTTAATATGCTAAACGTAATAAGCCAGTTATTGCATGTTAAGTAAACATTCGCCAGGAGTGAAAGTACTTCTGGGATTAACTGTTAGGAAGGAGATGGAGATCTGCAGCGTGCAGTATGTGTGAGCATGCGGCGTATTTGTTTAATGCAAGTTTTATTACCTCAAAATGAAATCTCTGTTTAGTTACCTTCCTTCCTAGAGGAGCTGTTGAGATAAGCATTGCTCGGTTAAACACAGCTCTTCCCCACCGTGCCAGGATAATGCTGGGATTAGTGTGAGGGGGGGTGTTTTTCTGACTCCCCTCTAAGCAAGCCCACCAGGGCACCAGACTGCTGAACTCTTAAATGGTGTTTGGAAGTAGAGGGGAAAATATTTCCTCTGCTCCCAGGCTCCTTTTTGCTGAGCCTAGTGGGACCCTCTTCCATTCACCCCCTACCCTGCAATTGCAGGCAAGAGGCACCCCCAAGAGCCTGTGTCTCCAGCCCCTCACCTCTCCTCCAGCTGCCGTGCTTTCTAAAGTACTTCTGTGGCTAAGGCAACCAGGATCTAAATGCGCTTGTTGGAACTTATCTCAGGCGCCAGCAAAGTCATCACTAGGGTATTGATCTGGGCTTCACGAGAGACAATGCCGCACGCCTGTCTCCCTCCAGCTCTCCTGTTAGCGTGAACTGTGACTTCCAACGCCAGGGCTGTGTCACCGCGCCCCTACCCTGTGTGCATTCAGCCCTTGATGATGTGGGAGTCTAGTGTCAACTGAAGTCCTAATGAACTCACCTACCTCCTGCCTTCTCCCACAGCCACAAGACTCCAAGCCTCCCATTCTGCTGGGAGCTCCTGTTCTGGGCTCTCACTATCTCGCCAGACTATCTGCGTCTTCCCATTTTTAAACTCTCTGCAGGAAACAAACCACAGTTGAATCAGTTGGCAGATAGGACCTCACCCTCTAGGGAGAGCTGCAGTGTTTCCTTGTCACGGAGGAAAGAATGCCAAGGAAATTTTTGCCCCTCGATCTCTTTTTGGCCATTTCATTTATTCCACAAATACTGAGTCCTTACCCAGTGCTAGGCACTGTGCTAGCCTCTGGGGACTGCAGGCTTCCTCATAGAATTAGGTGGCAGAGAGTTGAGTCGATTCCAACTTACGGCGACCCCGTGTGCATCACAGTAGAATTGTGCTCCATAGGGTTTTCAATGGCTGGTTTTTGAGGAGTAGACTGCCAGGCCTTTCTTCCGAGGTGCATATGGGTGGACTCAAACCTCCAACCTTTCAGTTAGCAGCCAAGCACATTAACCATTTGTCCCACCCAGGGACTCCACACAGGGCTTTAAGGATGACCTGATCCAGCCCTCTCACTGTAGAGATGAGAGACTGAAGTTCAGAGAGGGAAAACACCTTGCTCAAGGTCACACAGCTAGAGTGGTGATGGAGCTAAGTCTAGCAATAGCTCAAGACTATGATGAGCACTCACTGATTATGGGGTGAGCAACCAGGGCAGGGATATCTGCGCTCGCCAAGCCTCTCACCGAAAGATTTACTGTCTCTGCAGGATCGTCTGTGAGATGGGCCATGCCCTCGTGGGGACCACCTCTGGGCCTGTGCGCCTGTGCATTGGCGAGTGTAAACCAGAGTTCATGACCAAGTCCCATCAACAGTACACCTTTGTGGTGAGTAACAGATTCAGGGCCAGGCTTCAGGGGCCCAGCTCTGGGGGCAGGCTACAGGCACACCTCTCTTCCAGACTTCCCATATCCCACCTCCCCGGCCAGGCTGCACCAGGCTTCCCGAAAACCAAGAAGGAAACCAAAAAGGGCAACTTTTGGCATCACTTCTTTGCAACCCTGTCTTTCTGGAGTGGGCTGGGTCATGTGATTAACAAAGATGTGGAAATGTTGGGGTCTCAGAGGGCCACAGGTCAAAGTTCTAAATAAGGCAAAATTGGACATTTCTTAGAAAGTGGATAGTAAACAAGGGGCGGGAAGAGGCTGGCCCCTGTCCCACCAAGGTGATATCTTGGTCTAATTCCCCCCCAGTGAGGACACGGGTCTATGTACAGCCACATGCTTTGCTTTCTGCTGAGGCTATTGTAAGTGGGAGTTTAGAGGAGTTACTGAAAGCCTACAGGGACGTGTTCTGTGCAGGGGACCACGGGGAGGGCCTCCTTGCAAGCTATTCTGTATGACTGTGAGGTTACACACACATACACACAGACTCACACTCGAAAACACCTCTTCATGCCCAGGCAACAAGTGGTGGAATCGCACAGGCTTTCTTTAAGGATGACACTATGTTCTTCCTAAATCAATACCTTGTTTCTGGGCCCTGGAGCCCTTTTCTGACACTTACCTACATTGCCACATTGAATTCTTCATTAAAAAGCATTAACACCAGTGGATGAGGTTAAACCAGCCTTGCTAAGAGTTTTGAAAAATCATTAGACCAGAAAATTCTATTCTCCCTAAAGCATTTTACTGCTCAGTCTAAGTTTTCCAGCTTCTGCTTTATCTTGGTACCCCACCTCTGTTTTATACTCTTCACTCGGATTGGAGAGTACCACTGCCTATTGCAGCCAGCTGGCTCCATCTCCTGTCTGGTACAGACAAGGATTTACAAACGCAGAAGGACTACATGGGGAGAGATTTGTATAATGTCAGAGCTGGGAAGGGCTTTTGAGATCTTCTAGCCTACCCCCCTCGTTTGTCAGAGGAGGAAACAGAAGCTCAGAGTGATCCAGAACCTTGCCTCAGGACACACAGCTAATGCATGGCTAACGCAGACCAGAATTCATGCCTTGTCGTGGTGGTTCAGTGGCAGAATTCTCACCTTCCATGCGGGACACCCAGGTTTGATTCTCAGCCAATGCACCTCACGTATAGCGCTGCCCATCCGTCAGCGGAGGCTTGTGTGTTGCTATGATGCTGAACAAGTTTCAGCGGAGCTTCCAGACTAAGTCAGACTAGGAAGAAAGACTTGACAATCTACTTTCAAAAATCAGCCGTTGAAAACCCTATGGATCACAATGGTCTGATCTGCTGCTGATCATGAGGATAGCGCAGGGCCTGTAGTGTTTCATTCCATTGTGCAGGGGGTCACCATGAGTTGGGTAGACTCAATGGTAGCTCACAACAACGGTTGCTGAGTTAAATGCACTTTCCACTACACTCCACTGCCTTCTAGGCAGAGACAGTCAGTTTCTGATTTAGGTCTGCTGCCTGATGCAATTTAGATGACCTTTCTTTTAAGCTTCAGGCTTAATGTTACAGCTTAGTTAGCTTGCTGGGAAGTCCTGGCCAGTGAGGCGCCATCCCCTCTCCCCTCTCCCCTGATAAAGGCTAGTAGCCACATCTAGCATTTATCGACAGGTCTCTGCACCAGGCACCATGCTGTGCCCTTCACATGCTGAGGGAGGGACCAAAGGGCATGCACAAGGCCATTAACGGGGACATTAGCCCCTTGGTGGCCCAGCCCATGCAGGGACACTTTATTCAGTCTATCGATTTTGTGCCAAAAAAATCAGTACAAGCTCTAGATAGAGAAGCATTTTTAAATTGTTCTCAATTTGTAAATTAATTGATAGATTAGTCAGTGTCACATCTGCCTCTGCATCAGTGTTATGAGCATGAGCCTTTCCAGGGAGTTAATTAATTCCAGTACGTGTCCCTCCTGCCTTCCCCGGACGTATCTGGAGCCTCTTTTTAGAAAGGGTCTCAGCTCACATGTAAGCAAGAGAGCACTCGGTGTGGTAAAGGGCAGGAAAAGTACCTCAACTCTCAGTGTGAAAATAGTCCCTCCTCTTAAAACTAAGTGTAGCCTTGATCCCTCCCTTTGGACAAAACCTGAGCTGTGATCATTTCTATCTTCCTTCCAAAGAACCCTTCAGTGCTGTCACTCAACCCCATCCGAGGGCCAGAGTCAGGAGGCACCATGGTGACCGTCACAGGCCATTACCTCGGGGCCGGGAGCAGTGTGGCAGTGCACCTGGGCAACCAGACCTGCGAGTTCTATGGGTGAGATGGACTCCAAGGCCTTCTCGAAGCGTGGACATCTGAGGCGTGTGCCCTGTGTTCCTCTGCGTGTTCGTACATCTGCCGCCCCGTCACCTCCATGTTATTTACCACATCCTGGGCCCAAACGCCATTCTAGTCACTGTGAGAAATACACGCCACTTGTCGATTTCTAGCTCATGTATCAGAGGGACTGGATACTTCTAAAAATAACTGAAGCCCCTCCATGAGGGCCATGAGAACTCCAGATGAAGAAGCCTCTCCGAGCTCTTCAGTCACTATTGGTATCAAGGATAGGAGCCTTGGTGGCGCAGTAGTTAAGCTCTCGGCTACTAACCAAAAGGCCAGCAGTTCAAACCCACCAGCCACCGCAGAAGAAAAGGCCTGGCGATCTGCTTTCATAAAGATTACAGCCTAAGAAACCCTACGAGGCAGTTCTACTCTGTCACATGGGGTAGCTATGAGTTGGAATCCATTTGATGGCACCCAACAACAATGTGGTGACTTGAGAAGCTTGGAGACTACATGGTCCCAGTTCTTCCTAAGCACACATACTCCTCCTCTTCTGCATGACAAATAGTTATCGAACACCTACTACTTATACACTCTGCTAAACCCTGGGGCTAGACAATCCTGAAAGGATTCTGAAAGAATTTGTGAATGAGGACCTGATTCGACCAGTATTATCTACCTGATAATCTCCTCCTTGGAGTCCCTGGGTGGTGCAAATGGTTAACATGCTCTGCTGCTAACTGAAAAGTTGGTGGTTCGAGTCTACCCAGAGGTGCTTGGAAAGCACCTGGTTAACTGGTGTGGGCACCTACTTCCGAAAAATCAGTCATTGAAGACCCTGTGGCACACAGTTCTACTCTGACTCAAAAGGGGATGCCGTAAGTCAGGGTCAACTTGATGGCAACTGGTTGGTTTTTTTCATCTCTTCCTTGGACAGTAAACTGCACAAGGGTCAGGACTTTGTGTTCACCTCTATGCATAGTAGGTGCTCAATAAATATTTGTTGTCTGTCTGACTGAGCAGATGCTAAGTACCAATTAAATAAATTTTCACCTTCTAGGAACAACCCAGAGAAAAGCAGCTCCCCATAGCTCATGGAGGCCTGCCCTTGCCCCACACTTCTAACCCCTTCTCCACCTCTCTCCCTCCGTAATCCATCTAGAGCTGGGTCTTGGGTGAAAGGAGGGCACTGATAAGGGATGTGTCCACAGCGTAGAGCATAAAAGGGTAGAAGGACACTTCCTGGGCCAAACCCGGAAAGTGAGCCAAACCCCTCTTCAAGGCAGAGGGCACCCCTGTCACCATGCCTTTCTTCACAAGCCTCCTGCTGTCTTCCTGTCAGGCGGTCAATGAATGAGATCGTGTGTGTCTCGCCCCCATCGTCCAATGGACTGGGCCCGGTCCCTGTTTCCGTGAGTGTAGACCGGGCCCACGTGGACAACAACCTACAGTTTGAGTACATCGATGACCCCCGCGTCCAGCGCATTGAGCCTGAGTGGAGCATTGCCAGGTGAGGTGGAGGTGGGAGGCACGCACCCACTGCCACGTGGCATGATCCCTTCAGTCCAAGTGTTCCTCCCAGGGGGCTCCCAGGGATTTAGGTTCACCTGGGTGGTGCAAACGATTGATGCGCTCAGCTGCTGACCAAAAGTTTGGAGATTCAAGTCCACCCAGAGGCACTTCAGAAAGGCCTGGCGATCTGCTTCCAAAAACTCAGCCATTGAAAACCCTATGGAGTGCAGTTCTACTCTGACACGTGTAGGGCCACCATGAGTCAGAATTGACCCTATGGCAGCTGGTTAACTACTTATGCCAGGTAGCTGTTTAAGAGGGTTTTTACCTAATGTAGCCTCTGCTTGTTCCTAGCGGCCACACACCCCTGACCATCACAGGCTTCAACCTGGATGTCATTCAGGAGCCAAGGATCCGAGTCAAGTTTAACGGCAAAGAATCTGTCAATGTGAGTAACCACGAGTTCCTTCCGGCCCTCAGTCAACACAGCTTACACATGTGTGCTTTGCAGCATCATGAGCTCTGCATTAGGCACTGGAGGGCCAGGATACCAGAGAAGAAAGTTGGCTCAAGACTCTGAGCCTGGAGTCATGGCACCACACACCTGGGCCTTGCAATGATTTTTATAATTACAGTAGAGTCATTTCTTGTCAGAAGGTGATATAGTGAGTGTTTAAAAGAAGTACTAGCTTCTGAGCTTATGGGAAATCATGAAAGTTCTCCTGTTTTATAGCATGTTCAGTTTGGAATCCAGTAAGGCATGGGGGGGAGGCTGGAGACACTGAGGCTCCACATTCAGACATTTCTGGATTTGAAGCAGGACTTTGCCATCTGTTAGCTGTACAACCATAATCCAGTCATTTAACCTCACAGAGCCTCATTTCTGCTTTGTAAATGCTGGGGATAGGGCTTGTCTCACGGATTCATAGTATGCCTGTGGCATGCAGATAATTCCACCCCAGTTGCTGAGATGATCAGGTTGAACATTTTACTTTACTCCTCTGTACAGAGCGCTGTAATTTTACTTTTTCTCCACCATGGATTTTTGTGATTTTAAAGAAGTACTCTGTATCCTAAGAACAGAATGTCTGATATGTTGTCCTAAATTTTTTAGTTTGCTCTATTGGTTCCATCTTACTATTGCCGGCCAATATTCTCTGAAGCATTCTTATATTTATAATTTTAGTCCTGAAGATGCTATTATAGCCATTATTTCTTCATATGAATTACTATTATTACTGCTTTGACCTTCAGGGGATTAACTAGGCTGAGATGGAGGTGGGGAAGGTGGCATTGTATCTACCCTGTTACCCTTGACATATTTCCAGCATGCTTGCGGATTCCTTAGGAAACACAGAAATACACAAAATGATAGAAAAAATAGAGTGCTAGAATGATCTGGAAGGGTCTCGGCAATCATCTGGTCCAGCCCTTTCACCGTCCAGCTGAGGAAACTAAGGGCCGAAAGAATGAATGACTTGCCCCAGTCATAAAGGTGGCTGGTGGCAGAACCAGGCCAAATCGCAAACATCTGGACCCTTCCTAACTAGATGACATGAGATACCATCATGCCACCATCAGGGGACGTCTGTACCACACCTTCGGTACCCACCTGTACACAGCTCTTTGGGCTCAGTGAGCACATGCCCTCTTATGCTGAGTCTGAGCTTGATCCCTGGGCTAAAGAGTCTATGCTCCCACTTCCAGACTGAGCTTAAAAGCTCCCAGTAGCTCATGACCACCTCCATTTTGTGAAACTCCAGGGCTAAGTGCAGGGGAGGAGGGTTAGATGCAGCAATGGGAATGGTAAGTTCACACCCAGGAAGGGTAAAGACCTCCCCGCAAGGCACGTTATTTCCAGAGAGAACTTTGGAGAGTGAGAACAAGACTGGCAAGCTGGGCTTGCAAAGGCTGCTGGCTTTGTCCTCCGGAGGCCACGTGAAGAGCAGACCAGGCTGGAAGAAGGGCTCTCCCATGCCCCACATCAGCAGTCCCAGAAGGCTCAGGTCCCAGGACCCATTCGCAGCACTGCGCAGCCCCCGTCCCCACCCACCATGATCTCGGTGTTTCAGGGAATTAAAGACACTCCTTTCTGTGGAGAGTGGGTCCCTGGGCTCAGCACTGCCTGCCTGGAGTCTGCAGGCTGGGCTCTGAGGAGAAGCATGTGGCTGTGTGAGTTTTCCATCAAGCAAGGCTCCGGAGTGGGAGCTCACAAACTCTGCCCTGTGCCTTCTGTTTCTAGAAGTGGTGGGAAAGAAGTAACACTCCCCGCCCCCGCAGCCCTGCGTGGGCCCCACTGCATCCTCAGCCCACCTGGGGCTGAGCCTTGACTTGGGGTTTCAAAGCAGCCCCAGTGGGTAGCGAGGAGGGCCACGCTGAAAGCCGCACAACCCAAAGGAATGCTTGGCAGACAAAGTGCCGATGCAGCACAGGGCAGGAAGCAAACAGAGTCCGCTTGTTTGGGAGTGATTTGCTTATTCATAGAGGAGCCCAGTCCAGGGGAACTGGGACAAAGCGGGGGCAGGGCGGGGGGCGCCCTGAGGCTGGGTGTCACTCCCACAGAGCCCGGGTTTGGGAGTCCGTGGCTCAGCTCTTCTCTAGCCTTCATGCTCCCCATGCCTCAGTGTCCCCAGCTGGTACATAGAGGGGTGTTAGCTTCCTCGGGGCTGCTGAACTGTGAGATGAGAAGGAATCGGGCACGGGCCCCTCATGCAGCACGAAGCCCGCGCTGAGCCTTTCTGTTTACATCTTAAACTCCTTCTAGAAAAGGAGGGTGCAGACTTGGACTTGAGGCTCTGACATAACTCCTGTGCAGGTCTCAGGGTTTTTTGCAATTTCACGCACAGTTGTGTTTTCTGCACACGAAGCCTGTGTGTGCGTGTTGTCCAGACACATGTGCGGACCTGCCAGGATGGCGTGTACTGAGCAGTCTGAGTTCTCACAGATGCCCTTGGCTGTTCCAGGACTCCGTGGTTCCCAGAGCTGAAATCAAGCCATGCCAAGTGGGAACCAGGAGGAGAGCAGGGCGGAGTCTGCGTTTTCTTCCCGGGCTGTACATGTGTCCTTTAGTGATTTCCTAAGCTGGCTGCAGCATTAGGTAGCCCCAGATAACCCACCAGAGGAGACAATGGCACAACACAGGCTAAGCAGGGCCTGCCCAGCTAGGATTTTAGTTGGGAGACAAGAGTCCACCAAGGAAGAGTGGACAGCATGAACTCAGTGTCGATACCAAGGTTATACCCCAGTGCAGGGCTGGGGAGCCCTCGTATAGAGAAGAGAGGAGAGCAAAATGTTTAAAGACTTGGAGGATCCTTGTTATTCATCAGTTTATTCAATAAACATTTGCTGAACACCACAGTGCTCAGCTCACACTGACACATCCTGTGCTGCTTACGCCGGGAGTTTTTGCCTCAAACTCTCCATGCCCCTCATCCCCAGGACTGCTCTTCCCTCTGCCTGGGGCTTGTCTCCCTAGTCCCCACTCTCTTTGTCTAGCTAGGTCCTACTCATTCTTCAGATTCCATTTGATATCATTTCTCCCTTGGGAAAACATCCACGAGCCACCGCCACCCTGCTTCAGGCCCCTTGCACTCACACACACAGGACGGTCAGCACATCCATGCAGGAGTGTGACAGTGCGTGTGCCCCTGCTGGGCTGCAGGCCGTTTGTCAGGACTGTGGTGTGATTGCTTGTCTGATCACTGGTTTCCCCTCTAGCTTGTGACTGTTAGACTGTTACAGCCCCTACTCCTAGCACAGAGCCTGGAACAAAATAGGTGCTCAGACAGTTTTGGCGAATGAATGAATGAATAGAGTTAAAATGAATACACACACACACATATATATATATTCGCAGCCCTTGCCCTCTAGGGGCTCCCCATCTAATGAAGAAGACAAGTAGCCTAACTGTGGCTGGCAGAAACCAGCGGAGCTGTGAGTGCAAAGAGTGTGACCCCCAACCTGTGACCAGGCATCAGGTGCTCGGCATTTAAATGCCTGCACTCTGGCCCTCTTTAGGTGTGTAAAGTTGTGAACACAACCACCCTGACCTGTCTGGCCCCCTCGCTGACCACGGACTACCGGCCTGGCCTGGACACCGTGGAACGGCCAGACGAGTTTGGATTTGTCTTCAACAATGTCCAGTCCCTGCTGATTTACAACGACACCAAGTTCATCTACTACCCCAACCCAACCTTTGAGCTGCTCAGCCCTACTGGAGTCTTGGATCAGAAGCCAGGATCCCCCATCATTCTGAAGGTAGGAGCGCACGCCCTTCTGGCCTTCCTTGTCCTCCCTTCCACCGCTAGGACTCCCAGCGCTGTCATCTTCCTATAAAAGGAGGTTGTTTATAGGTATTGACCCACTGAGCAATGTTTCTTGCACTTGAGATTCTCAAGAAATATTTTGGAATATTTCTGTTTGTTCTCGTGAGCTTTGGGATGCAGAAGTTCTGCAGCGAGTTAGGACAACCATTTCCTTACTGGCTACTCCTGTGGCCACGGTAACCTGCATGTGTATTTCAAGGGGTCACAGCTCCCTAGTTCTCTCCACCCAAATGTTTTGTTATTCAACCACTTTCATTTATACCCAATGTACCCTCCCCACAAGAAGCCCTGGTGGTACAGTGGTTAAGTGCTCGGCTGTTAACCAAAAGGTCAACAGTTCAAACCCACCTGCCACCCCGTAGCAGAAACATGTGGCAGTCTGCTTCCATAAAGATTACAGCCTTGGAAACCCTATGGCTCAGTTCTGTCCTATAGGGTCTCTGTGAGTTGGAATCGACTCGAAGGCAGTGGACTTGGTTTGGTTTGAATTCTCCCAGTTTCTACTTGTTCAGTGTTTCGTCCCCCCTTCCTCTCTCCCACTCTCTTCCTCCCTGTCATTCTCTCCTCCCTTCATTTCCTCTCTTTCTCTCTAAATTGTGGCTGTTAGAAGTCCCCTCCAAAACACTGGCTTATGGAGTCATTTATCCATTTTTGTGTTGCTATCCTTCCCCACCTCCTTACTCTCTTTCTGAATAGGTAATCAGCTTCCACGTTCATGTGTCAGTTACTCCTATGAAGATTTCTGTTTTCTGCAGGGCAAAAACCTCTGCCCTCCTGCCTCTGGAGGTGCCAAGCTCAACTACACGGTGCTGATTGGAGAGACGCCTTGTGCCGTCACCGTGTCTGAGACACAGCTCCTCTGTGAGCCGCCCACCCTCACGGGGCAGCACAAGGTCATGGTGAGCAAAGCCTCTTCTTTGATTGCCTCCTCCTCTCCCTGCCATGCTTGTGTGATTCATCATAAAGAAAAACTCTCTTGTCCAGTGAAGATTCTATTCCTCTTACCTGCCTCATTGCCTGACTCACACCCTCCATATCTTCTCCCCTCCATGTTCTACATTAAATGGGTAGGAGTTGAGAACACAAGAAAAGGCAGGCAGATAAGCAGCAGGAAGTTGTTTTGTAGTAAGTCTGCACTGTGTGGTTGTGGTCTGTAATGTCCTTCCTGAACCAGCAAGTATTTGATGGCATGCCAGGGCTGTACACCTGTGTGCATCGTGTGTGTCTGTGTGTGTCCAATGCACAGGTTCACGTGGGCGGGATGGTGTTCTCGCCTGGCTCGGTGAGCGTGATCTCAGACAGCTTGCTGACCCTGCCAGCCATCGTCAGCATCGCGGCAGGTGGCAGCCTCCTGCTCATCATCGTCATCATTGTCCTCATTGCCTACAAGCGGAAGTCCAGAGAAAATGACCTTACTCTCAAGAGGCTCCAGATGCAGATGGACAACCTGGAGTCGCGGGTGGCCCTGGAGTGTAAGGAAGGTAAGTGGAGGCGCTCCCCCGCTTCCTGGGCCCCTCTTCACCTGCCTTCCTCTGCTCCTCCCACAGCTACGCTCATCTTCACTGCCGTTCCTCCACCGCACGGGGGTATGCTTCACTTAGGCCTCTTTTTTCCCAGAAACTTTTTTTGCCCTTGTTGTGAGCTGCCTTCGAGTCACCCCGACTCCTGGTGCCCCACGCACAACAGAACAAAATGCAGCCCAGTCCTGCTCCATCCCCATGACCGATTGCAGCTGAGTTGCAGATCAGACCCTTGTCTTGCCCTTGTTGTTGTTAGTTTCTGTCAAGTCGGCTCCAATCCGTGCGGATCTCACGTGTGCAGAGTAGAACTGCTCCATAGGGTTTTCAAGGCTGTGACCTTTCAGAAGCAGATCAACAGCCCTTTCTTCTGAGGCGCATCTGGGTGGGTTAGAACCTCCAACCTTTTAGATACTAGCCAAGCACTTAACCATTTCACCGTCCAGGGACTCTTCTTTTGCCCTTAGGGCCAGAGATTTATAGCTAGAGAATTCCCATTAAGAACACCTACCAAAAAAATAAAATAAATAAAAAATAAAAGAACACCTACCCATGAGGATCCTATAAACCAAACCAAAACAAACCCATTGCCGTTGAGTCGATTCTGACTCATAGTGACCCTATAGAACAGAGTAGAGCTTCCCCACAGGGTTTCCAAGGAGCAGCTGGTGGATTCGAACTCTTAACCACTGGTTAGCAGCCGAGCTCTTAACCACTGCACCGCCATGGAATGTGGAAATTACTGAATAATATCATTAATATCATATGCAAGTAAAATTATACTGAAGATAATTCACAAACGGTTGCAGCAGTACATCGACAGGGAACTGCCAGAAATTAAAGCCGGATTCAGAAGAGGACTTAGAATGAGGGATATCATTGCTGATGTCAGATGGATCCTGGCTGAAAGCAGAGAATACCAGAAAGAAGTTTCCCTGTGTTTTATTGACTATGCAAAGGCATTCGACTGCGTGGATCATAACAAATTATGGATAACATTGCAAAGAATGGGAATTCCAGAACACTTAATTGTGCTCATGCAGAACCTGTAAATACATAGTCCAAGAGGCAGTTAGTTGTTTGAACAGAACAAGGGGATACTGCATGGTTTAAAATCAGGAAAGGTGTGCGTCAGGGTGGTATCCTTTCACCATACTTATGTAATCTGTATGGTAAGCAAATAATCCGAGAAGCTGGACTATATGAAGAACAGGGAATCAGGACTGGAGGAAGACTCATTAACAACCTGCGATACGCAGATGACACAATCTTACTTGCTGAAAGCAGAGGACTTGAAACATCAACTGGCGAAGATCAAAGACTACAGCCCTCAGTGTGGACTACACCTCAACATAAAGAAAGCAAAAATCCTCACAACTGGACCAATAAGCAATATCACGGTAAACAGAGAAAATATCAAAGTTGTCAAGTATTTCATTTTACTTAGATCCACAATCAATGCCCACAGAAGCAGCAGTGAAGAAATCAAATGATGTATTGCACTGGGCACATCTGCTGCAAAAGACCTCTTTGAAGTGTTTAAAAGCAAAAATATCACCTTGAGGACTAAGGTGTGCCTGACCCATGGTATTTTCAATCACCTCTTATGCATTTGAAAGCTGGACAATAAGAATTAATACCTTTGAATTATGGTGTTGGAGAATATTGAATATACCATGGACTGCCAGAAGAACGAAGAAATCTGTCTTAGAAGAAGTACAGCCAGACTGCTCCTTAGAAGTAGGATGACAAGACTTTGTCTCATGTACTTTGGACATGTTATCAGAGGAGGGATCAGTCCCTCGAAAAGAACACCGTGCTTGGTAGAGGGTCAGCAATAAAGAGAAGACCCTCAATGAGATGGATTGACACAGTGGCTGCAACAATGGGCTGAAACATAGCAACGATTGTGAGGATGGCGCAGGACCAGGCAGTGTTTTGTTCTGTTGTACATGGGGTGACTATGAGTCAGAACCAACTCAATGACACCTGCCAACAGCAGGACCCAGGTCTGACGACATTGCTCTGGTCCCACCTCTACCTCGACTCACCCCGTAATGTGGCAAACTTCCTCTCTGCTAGGGCCTCAGTCTCCCCATATGACAGCCTCTAGTCCGTGTTATCTCAGCCTCCAAATCCCCCAAACGGGAATATCGGCTCACACGTGGAAGCAGCAGCCCTGAGAAGGGATGGCACCCCCCACCCTTCCACAGGGTTTGTTTTCCCCAGTACCCTACCTCCCCCAGGTTTGTTTTCTCTCAGTGCTGGAGGCTGCACAGCTCCCAAGGCCTCCGCTATCTGGCGTCCTTGGTCGTGGATGTATGTGGGAGTGGAGATTGTGTTTTCTTCCATCTCCCACACAACCACAGCCACGAAGTGACAGATATGCCTGGCATCTTCCGGGGCCGAGGACCCTGCAGGCTCTCTGGGTAAACATCTCAATTAGGAATTGAAACATTTCTCTTTTTGCCGTGAACGTCAAGATTACAAACAAGGCCGCAGCCTGGTGAAAGAGGAGAGCTGGGCTGGGGAAAGGTGGGGCAAAGGCTCCTCCCGGCCCTGGGGCCTGTGCGGAGCAGGAGAAGGGCACCAGGAAGGAGATGTGCCCCTGAGAGGGAGCCTCTGAAGCCTGCGCTGCCCACACTGGCCCGCAGGCCCAGGATCGGGTCGGATGTCAGGGCTCCCCACGCTGCTTGCGTCTTGGCGTATTCTCTTGGTTGGAAAGGGGGGAGCACAGCTGCCTCTTCCAGTGTTTGCCTGATCCCCTCAGCCACTATCTCTCACCTGCTCACAGCACCCTCAGGATCTTTACTGAATGGCCCATGGGGGCCACCAAGGGGACACCAGGCTCTTTGGCATGATTCCAGCGTGAGGCTCATTGTTTGCCATTTTTAAATTAATGACTGAATTAATTAACCAAGACCCTGCCTCATTCAAAAATGGATTTGAGGTGGCTTAGAGAAAGAAAGACATGATTCTGTGAGGTTTGTTTGTTCATTTGTTTTTCCTTTTCCTCTGTTTTAACTACATGTGTAATACTTAGAAAGAAAATTTAAATTGATGATAAGCAAAAAGGAGAAAACAGGCCTAAAGGAGACTGGAGAAACCCCTAGAGTATGGCCCCCAGACACCCTTTTAGCTCAGGGGTAAAGTTACCTTCGAGGTTCACTGATCAGCCTGCGAGTGGACAGCCCTGTAAAACCATG